TAACCACCCTAGGTTTCCATTCCTTTTTAGTTTTAGTCATCACATGATTAGTCTTAGGTTGCTTGGGGTGTCCAGGATAACCATACAATCACATAAATGTTTGATGTGACCATATTTACCATAATAGTGATACTTCCACGACAAAAACTTGGCTTTAGTTTGAGTTTCCTGATGTCTAGCAGGATGTCGAAACATTTGGTCTGACATTGTACGTTCAAACTTCCTTTCAGCAGAAATCAATTTTGTCATAGAACTGTTTCCTTGTTTATTTTGAGATTGGTAATTAAAAGTTATACCTGTTAAGTTTCCAGCCTCTTTTCCAATTTTAAGAATTTCATCTAACATATCAACCTCATTGTTCAACATTCTCACTAATTTGGTCGTGTTTTCAAGTTTAGAATTCAATAGGGTTACCTCATCTTGAAGACCAGAGACAATAGATAAAAGATTCTTTTTCTCAGACTACAGTTGAGCTATAAGACTCTTATGATTTTCTCTTAACTTAAAAATCTCTTCACTTCTGGAACAAAGCTCTATATAGGAAATAACCAATTATTCATAAGAGACATCCTTATCACAAGATTCTTCATCAAATTCACATCTGCCAGTAAGGTTTGTAACATGCTTAACAATTTCAACATCATATTAACTTTTAGAATCATTATCAGACCAAAAAAACAGACACACCCTTATTTTGTTTCTTGAGGTATGTGGGACATTCTAATCTAATGTGACCAAAACCCTCACATTCATGACAGTGAGTACCTTTTCCTTGATTAGGCTTCTTCTCTGTTCTTGTTTTTTTATTTTGAAAATCATTGTTCTTTCTGATGTCGAATGACATGTTCTTGACATATGGCCTTGACTTACTATTCATACTCTTCAGCACCTTATTGAATGGTCTCCCAAGAAACACAATAGCATTAGAAATTCCTTCATCAGTCTCCATGTCACATTGGACCTCTTCATCATTAGTGTTGGAGATAAAAGCTATGTTCTTGTTCTTCTTTTCATATCTTTCATTGATAGCCAATTCAAAATTTTGAAGTGACCTAAGAAGCTTCTCCACTTTCATGTTGCTAATGTCTCGGGCTTCTTCAATCACTATGACCTTCATGTCAAACTTCTTAGGCAACGACCTGAGAGTCTTTCTAACCAGCTTCTCCTCTGACACCTTTTCTTCTAAGGCACTAGATGTATTGGCAATATCAAGAATATTCATGTGAAAATGATGAATGGACTCGTCATATTCCATCCCAAGATTCTCAAATTTGGTGATGAGAAGTTGAAGTCTTGACATCTTTACTTTTGATGTGCCTTCATGAGTGGTTATGAGATTTCCCATACATCTTTGGCCACGGTACATGTGTTTATCAACCTAAATTTTATTTTGTCAACCCCATTGAACAAGGCAATCAAGACTTTGGAGTTTCCAAGAGCAAGATGGTCTTCTTCCTTAGACCAGTCCTCTTCTGGCTTCAATTAAGTTGTTTCCTTCCCAACTTTTTCCTTTACAACAGCGTGTTCCCAACCTTTGATAACTGCTTTCTAGATTTTGCTATTCATAGATTTTAGAAAAGCCACCTTACGCGCCTTTCAGTAATCATAGTTGGTGCCATCTAAAATAGGTGGTCTGTTGATAAATCCTTGTTTCTTGTCCATAGTACCAGAAAGTATCTTCACTGGAGCTCACCCAAAACAGAATATGGTGCCTGCTCTAATGTCAATTGAAATTCTAGCACTAAGAGGACATATGTCTTATATGATACCACAACACCAAAATGTCGAATGTGATATCAAGATGTTGTGATAGCAGAATTAACAATGAACAATTTAAACAAAATTGTAGGAAGTAAATAACACAAGGAAATTGTTAACCCAGTTCGGTGCAATGTCACCTACATCTGGGGGCTACCAAGCCATGAAGGAAATCCACTATAATAGTATTATTTTGAAGCTCTTACGTAAACAACATTTGTTTTACAATCTTCGCACCTAATCACTACCCGTGAAATTTCTATCCAAGACACTCTTAGATAAGAGATCTCTCTCACTCCCCCTCAATGACACAACAATGATTTTAAAACAAATAGTCAAAGAAGAAGACACACTTCAAGAAACAAAATGCACTCTTGCTTAAAAGCTTAAAAGTGATTCACAATTACAACTCTACTAAAACATTCCATCTCTAGTAGAAAGGTGATACAAAAGTGTCGCAAATAACAATGAACAAACAAAACCCTAAAAAGAACTCTGACAAAAATACGACTCACACCCACTATAGGTTTTGAGTCTTCTTATAAATAGCCTTCGAAAAGTATGGAATTGTTGAACAAATCGGGCTAAATTAAATAGCACATCCATAATATTCTGGAAGATAATAGATTATTAAATGCATATCCATAATATATTATTTCTTAAATTTCATATCCAAATCAAATCTTCTGTAGAAATAAATCAAATCAAATATCACCAAATCTCATGTTTCCTTAAATTATATGTCAACCATTCTTAGGAAATATTTCACAGCTGGAACCGAACTTTGAGCTTCTAAAAACAGATGCTTCTTGGACTGTAATATACTGGAATCAAATCTTCAAAGAATCTTCACTAATAAAACAAAATCTTCCAAAACACGAAACAAGATTAGCTTCAGTACTGCACCAACATGTCACGACATCTGGTACGACATCTCGCTAGAATACTTGTTTTAAAAAATGCAGCCAACCATAAAACCTAACAACAAGATTCTTGATTTTCGGCAGCATTGTTGAATTGGGGCAAAACCGGTGGTAAGAATCTTTCCCGATTTGTATGCTTGCACTTTTACTGGTCTGGAAAAAATCAAGGCTATGGTATGCTGGATAGGAAATGTCTGGTCGTGGAATATTCCTAACAGAAGGGAGGCGTTCAATATGTAGGAGGGAGATCAATTCAATGAGCTGAAGCAGATTCTTGTTTCGTTTCAGCAAATTTAATTTGTTGAGGACACGTTCGTGTGGAGGAATAATGTTAATGGCTTATCTACTGCTAATAGCTATAAGCAGATCATTCTTACTTTGATGGTGGAACCGTCATTGAACCCTTGGCGTTAAAAGGTTTGGCTAATTCTAGAAGTCCAAGGTACCGAGTAAAGTACATTTTTTGGTTGGAGAACTCTCTTGAATAGGTTACCCTCAAAACTGAACTTGGTCAGAAGAGTTATTATTCAAGGTAATCATAATATCATTTGTCCCTTATGTTTTGATGCAGAGGAAAATGTCTTTCATCTGTTTTTTTCTTGTGTGGTGGCTGCCTCGATTTGGTCGAGAGTGAGTTCTTGACTTGACATTGATTTCGTCATGGAGCTGAATTTTTATTTTGTTTAATGATAGAATCTTAGAGCATATGGATATCACGGGGCAGATAAAATCTCTCACTAAATATTGATTTTTAACTAAAGATAATAGACTAGTAGAAATGACTTAGTTAATTTAACAAACCAATCCTTCTTACTTTTTTGTTGGATAATTTACTTCTTTTTCCCTTTACAATTTTTTCTTTCTCGTTACTTATAGGGGTGTACGCGGGTTGGGTTGGACCGGGTTCGCCTTAACCCGTTACCCAACCCGTTCAACTTTCAATGGGTTGGGTTTATCATCAAACCCGTAATTCTACTTTAAAAACCGACCCGAATCAACCCAGATATTTACGGGTTGGGTAGGGTTGGGTCCAAGGGTTGTGTATATAATAATTATTATTTTCAATTTAAAAAATCTATAACACAATTCAATATAATTTTGCATATTTCAAACAATTAAATTATTTACGTAGTGGAGACAAATCCTACATATAAAATAGAATAATTAAAAATATAACAATTAAAATTTTGAAATGTATTTTCTTTGTCATAAAAAATATTAAGATACATATACACCATTAATTATTTATATATTTTCATTAATATACCTTAATTTATAAAAATTTATTAGTTATTTTGATACTCAAATGTTATCCATTACAAATATATATCAACATATGTAAAACAAATATATAATAATATACAGTATATATTAGTTGTTTTAATACTCAAATGTTACCTTTTCTAGCACATGCTTAAAAGTAGGTCCGTAAACTATCATATATATTAACACTTAATAATATATAAAATTCCATAAAATATCATTTCCATAAAATTCATAAATTCTAAATAATTCAAAAGCAAATAAAAATCACTTAGTCTTAAAATGACATAGATGTATTGGTCCAATATTGGTCTAATAGCACCAAAATCTAACAGCAACTATAAAAGATTCCAGCACCAGTAGTGAAAGGTTTAGCAACAACAGAAAATCCAACAACAGTAGCTGTAAAAGATTCCAGCAACAACAATGAAACGTTTAGCAACAACATAAAATCCAGCAACAATAGTTAAAAGTTTAAGCAACAATAGTCAAAAGAAGAAGAAAAAAAACAACACTAGAAAATACCTTAAAATCTAGTAGTAACAGTTGTATTGAGCTCAACCGCAGTAATGTCAACATCAATAGAAACTAATCCAGCTAACTCTATATATGTAAACACAAACAACTAATAAGAATAATGTAATGTAATACTAAAATAAAATAGATTTTAAAATTCAAACATATAATTCATATCTGACTCAACCTTTTCTAATTCAACCAACTCTTTTTCTAAATCAATGACCTTAGGAGATTTGATCCAATTTTGAGTACAAATCAAAGCTTCAACGGTAGAGGGATTCAAGGAACTACGAAATGAATCAAGGACACGACCTCCTGTACTAAAAGCGGATTCAGAAGATACAGTGGATACAGGGATAGCCAATATATCTCTAGCTATGCGGGAAAGCACATGATATTTATTTGTTTTTCCTTTCCACCAAGTGAGAATATTAAATGTAGGAGAATCATCCTCAACACCATCCTCCAAATACCTTTCCAACTCATTTTTTTGCACTTCACATTGTTTTTCTTCATATTCATTCTAAACAAATTGTCTCAATCTTCATCATCTTCACCATTTTCAATTCTAGAATGAGAGGCAATGTTTGAAGATGAGGCATTGGAACCACCATCATGAGAAACAGGATACAAAAATAAATAGTGCTCAAACAATTTAGCAATGAGAGATTTCAATTTCTTTAACATATCCTCTGACAATTTTTCACCATACATCCGAGTAAAACAAAATTCAATATAGTCAAGCTTATAACGAGGATCAAGATAAATAGCAACAAAGAGAAGATAATTTATTGTATTGCTTTCCCAATACTTGTTGTACTTCAATTGCATATTTGCTGTCATGGTTTTCAAAATTGGATCACTAACATTGTGCCTCCATTTATTCAACGTTTTTTTAATATTCATCAACTGTTTGAAAAAAGAGTTAGCAGTAACATGCAATGACCCAGAAAAAGAAAGTGTGGCATCATAAAAAGTTTTCAAAAACTTCACAAAAATACGAGCTCGTTCCCAATCAGCTCGATTAGGACATCCTTTCGACTCAATACGGAGATTAGTTAAAAATGCAACATCAGCATGTTCTAAGCGGTAAAATGCATGTTCATACTTTTCAGCGATGTTCAACATTAAATAAGTAGAGTTCCATCTGGTTTCTACATCTAGTGTTACCAATGCTTTAGAACATATACTTAATTATTATTAGTTAATAAAGATTCATTAAAAAAATAAAAAGGCAGTAAAGTGTAAACTAGAAGTGCATAAGTCAAGCAAACATGATTAATATTAATAATAATGTTTAATTATAATAATAATAATTTAATGTGTGATTGGAAACTGGAAGGAAAGTGCAAAAGATCTTTGTGTACGTTACAATTTACAAAGTTATAGCAACTTTAAAATTTATAAATAATAATATAATAATAATAATAATGATAATTAATTATACCACGTCAACGGGTTCATGGGTTTAGAAGTTAAAACCCAATACCCGAACCAAATCTATACGGGTTGGGTCGGGTATACCCGTAAATGAATGAGTCCGGATAATTAGTGGGTTGATTCGGTTTGGGTAGGCGGGTTTGCGGGTCGACCCACACCCATGAACACCCCTAGTTACTTATAGTTTCAAAGCCTTTGTATTTTTTTTTGTGTTGAATACCCCTTTTACTCCTTAATATAACTTCTCTTTGCTTATAAGAAAAATTAATTAATTAATTAAGTAAATTGAATTAAAATAAATAAGATTATAATTGTGGAAAATACTAATAGACACTTTTTAAATATTTTTTATAATAAAAAATATAGGTGAGGTTGATGATTTTAAAAACTCGAAAAAAATATACAATACTTTAAGATTCAAAGAACTTTATTTCTTCAAAATATGTACTTATAAAACAACAAGTATCTTCTAAATATATGGAAAAATGACAACAACAAAAAAAACAAAAAACAATAGTAAATTAAACGAGGTGATCAAGTAATAAATATTTCAAGACACTTACATTTTTCTTACTCAACATAGATACACTTTCATGTAAAAATGTTTCTAAGTTAATACTCCACCTGCTTTGATTATAAAGATATTATTTTTGGAATACATATATTAATTTTATAAATATAACTATATTTCTCATTATTATTTTGTTTTAAAATGTGAAAAACTCAATTTGGAACATAGTCATATTCAAAATGTAATGTAAGAAATAAATGTTAACATTGTTATCTTTTGAGTTTGGTTGGACAAATATATTAGCCAAAAATTATTTTAAATTAGATTTAATCGAATATTTAACTAAATAAAATATTGATTTAATTATTAGGTCATATTTGACTTTAAAACTATGATATATATATATATATATATATATATATATATATATATATATATATATATATATATATATATATATATATATATATATATATATATATATATATATATATATATATATATATATATATATATATATATATATATATATATATATATATATATATATATATATATATATATATATATATATATATATATATATATATATATATATATATATATATATATATATATATATATATATATATATATATATATATATATATATATATATATATATATATATGATCTGACCTGATCAGAAGGGGATCACGGGCTGGGCACACGCTGTTGGACTGCTACCTGTTCACCGGTGATGAGGAGGAGAAAGGGGGGTGTATCTGCAAGACACTCCGATGCCAAAGTGAGAATTTGGGTAGAGTGGGAATAAAGTACAGAAAAATGGGTAAGAAGTGAATTACCTGACCCTTTTGAGGAAGAGGGTATTTATAGAGAGACCCCAACGTTGGGCCAACGGTCACATGCGTTAGGCTGGATGGCCAGGCCCAACTCAGGTGACTTCTAGGGCTTACGTGGCGTAGTGAAGACCATGACGTGGTCTTCGCCCTAGTCCAACTGCCCCGTGGTCTCCGGAAAGTGGGTTTGACCTGCTCTTTCGGAGGTGGGCAGTTGGGGGATGATGTGTCCCCGCGGATGGGAGCACGTAGAGAACGTGTGCACGACACGTTGTTCTCCCCGCGGAGGGGAGCTCAGGAGGTTCCCCGGCGGTGTGTGATTCTCCCCGCGGAGAGGAGCACACGAGAGTGGGGGAGACATATCGTCCTGCTCGTTGGCAAGGAGATTATGCTCGTGGAGGCTGTTCTGTCCGGCTAGGGGGAGCGCCGAGGACGCTTAGAAGCACGCCGTCCTGCTCGGCAGGGAGCATGTCCTGCCCGTCGGGGGGGCGTGTGCCCGACCAGGCTACTCAACTCATTGGGCCTTGGTTGTGCGTTATTGGGCTGGGCCGCAAGGTGAGGCTGGGCCTAGGCCAGAACAGGAGCCCCCTAAGTCGAAGCTCTTTGGCGAGAGAGTGAGGACTTAAGGTCGTTGCTTCGGGGAAAGAGGCAGCGAGGTGGGTGGCTCGCCGGTTTGCGCTCGGCGGGACGCGTGTGCACGAAGGTCTCTCCCGGTCGCCGGGTGCGCGGGGCAAAGGCATCTGAAGGGACGCGACTGTCAGCATACCGCCACGTGTCACGCGCCGAGTGGGGGCGAGGGCGGCTACCCTAGGGCACTCAAAGGCCTAGTGTTGCTTCGAGTTCTGCGTCGGGTTATAAATATGGGGGTCCCCGAGCATTTTTTTACTTTTCACCTTACTTTCTCACCTGCGAAGTTCTGTAATTCCTCCCCTTCTGCCATTGCTGCGAATCGCCGCCGCGCCGTTAGTTTTTCACTCCGTTCCTCGCCGTTATAAAGTGAGTTTTCTTCTTCTCTTCTTTTATTTTCGCCGTTAAATTTGGGTCTATGGTCGGGGCACGATGAATGCCCCGAGGAGAGATGCGAGTTTCCGCCGTATCTGGTGGTTTTTAGGGTTGTTTAGATGAATTCCCCAGGGAGGACCGACTGTTCCGATGAATGCCCCGAGGACGGGCGCCTTCTCCGATGAGTACCCCGGGGAGGGGCGATAAGTTAGCTTTGAATGTCCCGTGGAAAAGTGGCGGGGAGTGTGCCTCGGGGCCCTCCCGGGTGCTCATCTTTTATTCGCTCGCCGTCGTCGTCGCCCTTTCACTTGACCTGCGGTGGAAGGGTGGATTTGATCCTGGCTATCGAATTCACCGTTATCCTCTGCTTTTCAGGTGTACATGTCGGCCTTGATACCGGGGACGATGGTCGAAGACAGTGATCCCGAGATCCCAGAGTTTGATGAGCGGGTTCTCCCCGTCGAGGAGTGGATGGCCGAAGAGCCCCTGTCCACCCCTTCTTGCTTCGCGCTCGATGCGTCCGGCGCCTATGCTACTGTGGAGGATCGGGTGGAGGGGGATCCGCAACACTGGCAGGTGTATCGTCCCAAGGAGCACCATCGCATCTGCTCGAGCTATGGGCGGCGGATGTTTCCTATGCACGAGTTCTATTTTAAAGAGGCTCGACTTAGATTGTCGTTCTCTGCCTTCCATTTGGGTCTTTCCGACTGGTTACGTTTGGCCCCGTCCCAGCTGCATCCCAACGCCCTGGCCTTTATCCGTGCATTCGAGGTGGTGTGCCATTTTCTCGAGGTCGAGGCCACGGTGCCCTTATTTTTCCGCATCTTCCACCTGCAACGTCAATCGGTGAATGGTCGTCAGGGTTGGGTCTCGTTTAAACAGCCGACCACGCTTTTTAAGACGTACAACGACTCTGTCTGAGACTTCAAGGGTCGGTTCTTCCTCGTGCGGCCGATCACCCGGGAAGGGTCGGATTCTCTTTTTACCGAGGGGGAGCGAGTGGTGGACGACCAACGGTTCGTCGCGTGGCTCCCAAAGGTGCATTTGCTGTGGAACTCGGAGCACTGCAACCGCGGTACCAACCGGTATATAGTGCGGGTCAGGACTCTCAACGAGAGGGACATGGCCGCTTATATGAAAATAGTGGCGTTTGTGCGGGGCCTTCCCTCGTCGAAATTGGTGACGCCTGATGGTCGGTATATCTTCGATGCGCAGGGGAATGTGCGAACTAAGAAAAGGCTGATTAATACGAAGACCTTGCTTGGTTGCGCCTCGGGGGAGGACACTCTGGAATACCTAGGTAGGGACGCTTCATCTTTCTCGCGACCGTATGTTTTGTATGTTGCTGACTCTTTTTGTTTTTTGCAGCGAACATGTCTTCCATCGAAGAGCGGGTGAAGAAGCTGCGTGCCTCGAGGGTTGCCGTGGTCCCGAAGACGCGGGTGAGTCAATTGGTCGGGCAGGAAGCTGTGGTCTAGGGTGGTCAGAGTTCGTCTTCATCTCCCCAGGAGAGTCAGTCTCCCTCGTCTCAGGGAACTGCGAAGAGGCCAAGGACCGATGAGCCCAGTGGCGTGATTGATCTGACGACTGGTTCATCCGAGGAGGGTTACGTCGTCCCACCGTGCCACCAACACCCCGGTTATTTTCACGGGGCCCGGTCCCCCACTATCTCTGCTGGCAAAGTGAAGGTTGTCCGGGATGCCGATCGAGAGTCTCGTCGTCGCATCTTGGCGGAGGATTTGGCTGTGATGATACGGACCTTTACTACGGCAATGGTCCTGAACGAGGAGGGCTGCTCTGCTGTCGAGATGACCAAGTTGCGGGGGGATCTCACCTTCATGCAGTCGCGCCTGGACAAACTCAGAGAGGAGCTGGAGAAGACTCAGAAGGACGCTGCTGACCAGCGCAAGCGGGCGGAAGGTGTCGAGGAGAAGGCGACGTCGGTCGAGGAGAAACTGGTGGCGGCGGAGGCCGATGTGCAGGCGCTGACAGTTCGCCTGGACGTTCTGGACAGTGCCCTTCGTCCGGCCGAGGACAAGATTGAGGAAGACCGGCGGATGATTACGCGTGCTTATTTGGTTGCACGGATTCGGGTGCTGGAGAGCGATTGCCTGGACGCTGTTGAGGTCGGGTTCAAGAGTGTTGTTGTGCAGCTCCAAATTGTCAACCCTGGCGCTGCTCTGGTCGTAGACGGGATTGGGCCCTATCATGAGATCATTGATGGGAAGGTGGTCGATCCAGAGCTCATCGTCCCCGACGCCGTCCCCGTGGATGTTGAGAAGGAGGGTGAGGATGTGTAGGTTTTCCCGGGCCTGTGTGCTCGTAGATTCCTGGCC